AACTTAATTTTTTACACCACGCGCGCGCGGAAAAAACTTTCGCCTGCGGTGGTGATAAAGAAGTTTCTTTTGTTTCTGCAACTTTTGCAGCGAGCGTTCGTTTCTTCGCCTCATCGGCGACGCTTTGTTTCACGCGCGCGCCTTGGTTTTGATTGTGAAAAATTAAGAGGTGGAAATTTTCGCGAAACTTTCCCAACAACAGCCGGCACCGACAACTCACTCGACAACTCGACAACTAACAGAATGCGCACAAAGTAATAGTAATTTTGCTAAAAATTCACAATTCTGCTTTAATTTCTTTTATTACAACTTTCAGCGCAAAGTTAGACTATTATATCGCTAAATTCAATTTAATATTTGATTTGGATCAATTTTAAGTGATTTATAAGCCAAAAAATAATAATTTTTTGAATCTCTCAAGAGGATTCGAGTGTTTCAGCGATACTAATTAGTTCATTCATTACGAGTATCACCAGAAGTTGAAATTGCGTCGGGCACCTGCTCGCAGTAATTTAATAAATTTATTAAAATATGAGAAAGTATTTTAATGACATTAGTAGAAGTTTTTAATTATATTAACGTTCTCCATCTGTAGAATTTCACATCTCAAAAATCGTTACATAAAAACGTGTTACTGCGCAATTTAAAAATAGATGTCGTTGTGAGGAATTGAAGAAAATGACAAAAACAAAAATTGCATTTTTAACCATTTTGGATACGTTTTTAGGGCATTTACTCCTTGAAATTAAATTATTTTGAACTCTTATCTTATAGAGAATTTTTCAATCTTTCATAATCTTCAATCCGTTAGTTGCTATCCCTTTTAGTTTAGGAGATATTTGCAACTAAAAAATGGGAAAAATGCAATTTTTAAATTTTTTTACAAAAACCGTGTTTCTGCGCGATTTAAAAATAGATGGCATTACTTGTTAAATTATAACAATGGTAATAATGAAAATAATAGAATAATCCATGATGGAGTAAATATTTCAGCGGTTTACACCACAATTACCAATTTGCGTCCGTTTTGTGCAAAATGCGGCATTTGTTCGTCAAAATCATATGCACTAATATTTCCGAATGCGTGCGTTTGCTTCATGCATTACCAATGTTCAATTAACGCAAAGTTCACTCAATTAGAAACAGCACCAGTTCGCAACTACCCCTATCACACATACCGCGCGTTAAATAAACAATATATTCCATGCGTCAAAATAAATTACATCTCGCGTGTTCACATTACGATTTTAGCGGGCGCGCGTTCGTTAAAATGTGTACCACGCACGAGTGGCGAGATGGCAGCCATCGGGGGGCGGCGCACGCCGATGATGAATGAAACATGTAATTAATGAAAGTACGCCGAATCAATCAATCACAACGACGATACCGCCAAGAACGAATTGGCGTAATCTAGTTATGAGATACTGGTGATGTTCTGAATGCAGGTGGATGTGGAGGCGCCGGGCGTTGCGCATAATTCGTCACTATATGAATCAAAATAATCAAAACATCAATTGGCGATTGCGAAATGATCAATCACGCGTTAATATGCGCATAAACATGCCGAGCGTGACTGCGCGATGGCAATTACAGCTAATTATCCACGTGCATAATTACGGATTAATTGAGGTTGCAACATTAATTATTATCGACGCAGAAAAAAAAATTCGAAAATAAAAACACGCGGTTTAATAATGATTGGATTATCGGGGGGTTATGGTCGTGAAGCGATAAGGGTGAAAGCTTATGGTTTCATATTTTTCATCGATAAACTAATTTATCGGGGCCAAAGATAACGATCGTAAATATTCCGCATTTATTACGCGTATAAATTTGCATCGCGCTGACAAAACAGACTTTTCGCAGGAAATTTTCGTGGAAAACTCTTTAAAATTTGTTTTTGAAAATTTTTAAAAGTGACATCATCAATTTTTGTGTGTTTTTTGAATTTACAATATCAATTCTGATCTATATTGAGTTTTTTTTTTTGCGAGTTGTAACTATGACAGTGTTTTTTTAATTTGTGCACCCCCGTGTTTTATCGCCACGCAAACGCGCGCCGCCTCCGGTTATTTTTAATTGTGTTTATTGCATCCAGGTGTCCGGCAAGCGCGGCTGAAATACCGATTGCATTTTTTGCATCCCCCAAGTTTTATTGCGTTCTGCAACTACCCCACTACAAACCCAACCCTAAATGATCACATAAATTTACGTTGCGGTTCACTGAAATGCTACGCTGGAATGTTTACATCAAAATTTATCTCCGAAGGACAAATTTTCATAAATTCCACCCTCTACACAATTCAAAAAAACTTAAAAAATAAAAGAAAAACATTTTTAACAATTTTCTTTAAAATTTGCTAAAAATAATTGAATTGATTCGAAATTATCCAGAAAAATAATTTGTAGTCTTGTGTGTAGATAAACTAACCAGAGGGTGGTGACGAAAGGGGCGGTTCGGTTTGGCGACCGCAGTCTTGGGTCTGGCTTGGGTTCTTCGCGATGCTTATCAGTATGCGGCACGTTGTAAACAGCAAGCGTGACCGAAATGTAAACGGCGCACGCGAAACCGAGCGTGAGCATACGGTCCGCGCGCGCCCCCTAACCTGATTACACAAAGAGAAAATAGACGAAACGAAAAACGGCCGCGTTTTTTTTCCCGGGCGTCTTTTATTTTCCACCAGCAGCCACACCGCTGACAGGAAAACGCCGACGGCGGCACTAACAAGTTTTTCACGTTCTCCACGTGTGCTTATTTAGCCTAAAAACAACGCACAACTTTTAACCGCTCTAACTAGACGAGAAACTGTAAAGAAAATTTGTTAAACAATCGACACATTAACACAACACTCGCACAAGTTTTATTTACAAACAAAAACTTTAAAAAATTTAAAACGAAGCTTGGTTAACCCAGTTTTAAAGTATAAAAAGCTCTTTATCATTTCTTATATATCTCACATGATAATGATGATTGACATCGTAAAAAGTCAGCTAGTTTTCTGTATGTCTAGGTGTACGGTTTTTTTTTTTTTCATCCCTTACGGCGGTATTTGTAGTAGAGACATTCTTTTGGATAAAGCGCAAAGTTGGTGCTTGCGCGAAACGTGCGCTTCGAGGCCGACAACGCAGTTACGCCGCTAATTATCCTGGCTTTTTATTAAACACCGCAAAAAGCTCAACGCGCCCGGCGCCGCCACCATCGCCATCAAAACGCGTAACAGCGTAAAACCGCGTTCGCAGCACTTTTCGTTTGGTTAGTAAATTACACCACAATTTATCAACCTACTTTCGCGTTACTTTATATGAAGAAATTTAGATTTTATCAAATACTTCAATAATTACACGAGAAAAATAAAAATTTAGTTTGTGTGTGGTTTAATATTTGAATTTACTTACGCGCGGTGGTTTAATTCTCGGCTAATTAGCGAAAAGCGCAAGTGGCGACGGCCGGCGCATTAATCCTTGTTAAAAATGACAAATTGCCTAAATCGCTTGCCCCCTTAATGAGAATATTGTTTTCCTGTTATAATTCATCTGCAAACACTGGCCAGACTTATCTGCAAAACACAAAAAAAGCTCTTAAAAGCTGACGGAAGATAAAAATATATTTTCTTTACGTTTTGTGCAAATTATATCAAAATGCTTCGCAGGTGATTGAAGTGACGTTAAAAGCTCGCAAGCTCGAAAGCTCGCGATGTGGTAAGATAATAAAATTTACGATTTTGCGTGACTTAATGGTGACGTTTGTTTCCTGCCATGCTAATACGCTTGATATTTATCACCAGAGAGCTTTCCACACAAGCACAAAAGCTTTCATCAAGTGCGTAAAGGTCTAACGCTATTAGATTAAACAGATAGCAACAAATTATTCCTCTTTCGCACAACAAAAAAAAATTCAACTAGAAAAAGGTCAATTTGTCGGCATTGTCTTGGCATATTGTTTGTTTTGTCATGTGTTGTTGTGCTGCATAGGTGCAAACGAATAATAAATTGGCCAATTCAAGGCGTGTGTGCGGGCGCACGCCGCCCCCCGGTCCGAACGCATTGTGTGCGTCACCACCGGCGAACAATGCACGCCAATTTGCTCGTTTGCGCTGCCCCGCCGCCGCCGCAGCCACGCCGAGGATAATCATAATGACATTAATGACAGGCGCGCCGCACGCACAATGAATCGCCGCCGCTGCTGCCGCCATCGGTATATTGCGCATTATTATGTCAAATACGCTTATTACCGCGCCATTGAGCTCCACTGCTAATTTCAGACATTGACAAAACGTCACTAATCACGTTAAAAACCATAACAAACTAAATCGATATTGATTTTATCATAATATGAGAGAAAAAACACCTGTTATCCATCGCTAAAGTAAACAACATTTAATGTCTTACAATCAATCTCCTCTAGGAGAACTAGGATCAACCAGGGTTGAATTTAGTAGTTTTGGTCACATCAATAACCTCAATTTGGAAGCCCATTCCCAAAACCAATAATTTAGCATTAAAGTACTAAACAATACCGGAAATACTCATTGAATAAATACCCGTCCATTAAACAAACACAAACTTTCAAGTATGAGATTATCCTTGGTGGATTCACGATTTTCGAAGCTTGATACCTGCGGTGAGTGAATTATAGCTGCAGCATTCTCCACACGATGATTTAAGTACTTGATTAATCAAAATGAATCATGAATTCATTGTAACCCAATGGTAATGGCGTCCAGCTGTCCGAAATCGAACTGCTTGTTATATTCATGCAGGCTATTGATTAGTTTAACGTAATTAACGTTAATTGCTAAGTTATATCGCATGGGCCGATGTTTGCATACAAGGCAAACAGAGTGGTTGACCCGCTGGAGAATACCAGGCGATTGATAAACTCATTTTATTCTATCTCAATGTAAACACGTTAAAAGTAGTGTTTGTTTGTTGGTGGGTTTTAGTTGTAAAGTTTGCCGGTAATAACGAATGCATAGCATTGAATTGACCCCGGCGATCCCTTAATTATCCAGCACGGACAGCGTGTCGAGTAAGTTTGCGCCCGCAGGACAACCCGGATAGACGGAAACGCAATCGACGCCGAATTCGCCAGCGCGTTGAGCATCCACGTACACATCGTTGTCTTCATTCCCATTCGTGTCTATAGATGGCCTGCAAAGCGTGTAAAGCGAACAGCTTGTTTATTCCTCAAGGGATTTGAAATATAAACACATGTTACTTGTTACTTGGACTTACGTTAAGGCTATGTGCATTAATTCACCAAATAATCCATTTGATGAATGTTTCAGAGAGTGCATGGCGTTATCACAGATTGAGCGAAGGACACAGGAAGTTCCATCGGTGCCATTACTGAAAAGGAAAAATATTGGTTACTAGCTTTAACCCGCGGCTTCGTTCGCGAATATCTAAAATAATGAAGTTGTTTGTACGCGTCTGCAGTCACAGAAGAAGTAACAATGAAGTAGAATGGCGGGAAGTTTAAAATGGCTGAAAGTATAGTCTATGGAAGTATAGTGTACAGTCTCCATAGTGTAGTCAATTGGATTTGATGTTGACGTAGCTGTCGGTAATACAGTGTGATAATACAGTGTGATGGTACTATAGTACTTAGGTTTGAGCTTCATTGCTGGAACGCTAGATGGCGTTAAAGTAGTCAAATAGCCAAATGCAGAGGTATTATTGGCTTAACTATTTCTTTATTTTATTTAAAAAATAATTTTTTTTATTAAATAAAAAGTAGCCTATAACCATTCGGGGACTACTAAGAATATGTGTACAAATTTTCATGATGATCGGTTAAGTAGTTTTTGCGTGAAAGTGTAACAAACATCAGGACTTTCGCACTTATAATATTAGTAGGGACGTGAGGTTATGTTTTTAATTAGATTTTGAAATGTTGTGAATGCACGTATGCACCTCGATCATTAACACATTCGAGTGCGCACGCGTGGGTTGCCTGCCGAAAAACGAAATTGATTGCAGAACGCGTTCGAACGTAAATGCTAGATTCCTCGTTCGGTGGGTTTTGTGGATGTTTGACTGTTTGTACGCTGAATGCACGCGTGAATGCTGTCGAATGCGAAATGAATCGAACCACCCGCGGCGTTCCAGCCGCCTCTTCCTCTTCCTCTACATACTCGCGTAGAGAGGAGATGGATGTTGGCGGTGAGCGGTGCCGCCGAGGTTCGCTTTAAATCAGGACTCTCATTACTCACGAACATTAGCGCAATATTCGATTCCGGGCGTTTCAAACATTCCCCCGAACTATTACAATATTGCAAAATATTCGAATCAAAAATTTACGCTTTCCAAAAAGTTGGAAATTATTTTGTCCAAAGTTAAATTTACTTCTTTTTTCGCTTTTCTTTTTTCTCGCTTTCTGTTTGGAAGTTCTTGCGGTAGCATCGTAAATCAGCGTCCGGTCGATAAGTCTCCTACTCCACCCTAGGTTGAACCCAGTGGCACCTCAGTGCAACCAACTGACTAGTCATTAAACGCAGATACCCAAAGACTCAAAGTCAACTGGAACTTACAACGCGGAATTCTCTTTACTTCATTCTCTCTCAGTTGTGATTTAATCAAATTGCAGACATCTGCAACATCCTCTAGAGATAATACAGTGAATGCATTTTGTAAGACCTCTAATGTGACATTTTCGTTGGGAAGTTGAAGATTGTAAGTGGCTGGTTGAGAGATTACGAAAATGAAATTTGTCACACCTGCTCATGGCAGCCGCGAGGCCCATGTAGAACAAACTTCTGTCGCTCACTTTCGCGGAGTCTTCGTGACGTCTCTCGCGTGACTTGGCGATTATAGGCGGGAAGGGTTTCTCCAATTGGGCGATGTCTGCGGGCAAAGCGTATTGAAACTGGAAATTCATACCTAACGCCATCGATTGTCGAATGCCCAATTTGGTTGGAATACCAAGCCCGACAATCAGCTACAATACAACACATGCTTTTGTAATTAGCATTATGACCTCGAATGGAATCCAAATTGATAAATACCTTGAAAGTACCCCCACCCACTGGGTATATCAAATGACGTTTTGTTCTATTTTTACTAGTAGATGTAGAATTTCTAACAAAAAACACTAAAAGACTCAGAATTAAAACAAAAATTAAATTTTTAAACATTTTATTAAACTGAACAACTTCTGTGAAGAACTAAAGAAAACTAGTTGGGTTTTTGACTTGTTGAACTCAGTAGACCTGTGAATTGTTTACTTTTTACTTAGTGTAATTAGCAGATGTGACAGTTAGGTATATTTATGTAATATGAACATTCTGTAGTTATATTCTGACGGTTTTATGAGCATTTTATTGCCTGTTTGTGTGTAGCAATAAAATTCAAATGTGGTTGAACATCGAACAAGAAGCGAACACGATCGCGACACGAATCGGCTCACACCCGGCGCGCGCGCCAACATTTCACAACCGAATGGAATTATCAATTAGGCGTTTAATAATACCGGCACTTTGCCGACACGCCGACGCATTATGATTTCAATTGCTTGTCACGTTCAGCAAAACAATTCCGCGCTCGCATTCATCGTCATAATTACAGAATTACACTCGTAAATATCACAATTAAGTAATTGTAGAAATTACGATCGTAATTGATGGAATTAGACGCAGATGTAGAATAAATTTTTTTCACGATAAATTTATAGAATTTGCGTAGATAAGACCTTTCAAAATCTTCTTCAGAGGTTTTTGCTAACATCTTTAAGGCGATCAATTTGATTTGAGCTACGGCTTCGTTTTGCTGACACTTTTGCTCCTGATTGCTCCACGTGTGCCCCCATTTGCACACGCACTTGAAACCGCCGAGCGTGTTCAGACAGGCTTCGCCACGATGCACGTCGCACTTGTGTTCACCTCGCAGACATTCGTCGACGTCCACACAAATGCCATAACTGGAATCCCACACGTAGCCGACCTGCGGACACGTGCAGCTCACATTCCAATGGTTTAATATCCCCGAAGTAAAGTCCAGGTTCTCACTTCGATTCATAACGCATTGTCTTTGTTCTGCGGGAGATGCAGAATAGCAAGGATTGGATTTCGGCATCTCCCAACAACTGCTTAAATTATCCACGTGTTTCTCATAACAGCAAACATCCGGACAAAAACTATATTGGGCACAAGAGAAAGGTTCATCGTCATTTGCTCGAGGGTCATGATTCCGAGGTTGTTTTGATTCCCCTAAACAATTGGAGAAATTATCACAGTTTTCTGAGATGTGCCTGAGGTGTTCCACTTCGTTCATTGTATACCAACACATGAAATACGCAGCAGTGGTCCGCCATTGAAACCGTTCAAGTGGTCCTTGGAAGGGATCAGCTAAGATGTCATCGCGCCGCTTCAGCTTCTGGCATTCTGCCTCGACCATATCAATACGATCACGATCTACGTCCATCCGCCATCGTTGCTCTTGAATCACAACGGACGTGTCGTCTCCTCGACGCAGGTCTGCTCCTTGCGCACGCTTCCAAAGGTACTTGACGCATGCAAGGAAAGATTCATCGCAAAACTTATGCACCTCCCAGTGTAGACTCCGAAGTGCGGGTCGGGGATATTCACGGTGGTAGGTGCGGGGTGCTAATGTGCCGTTCGACTCATATCTACGATCGTACTCGTTGAACTTGTGTGCGCGCAGATAGTATGCGATGTCTTTTATGGCTTCCTCTATCCATTCCTGCCCACCCACATCTCCTCCATCTCCTTGTGTGTTGGTTTTATTCATCGCATCTGCATTCGTGATGCTGGTAGTTGTCATATTCGTCACTTCCGGTTTGGTATCGCGAAGAATCCGCGCGTCCTGCACGGGTAGATCATCGCGTATTTGGACCTTTTCGGGAGTGGCACCCAAAAGGAAAATATCGTCGTTATAGTCGTCGTTATACTGGTCGTTAGACGTCCCTTTTGAGGGTGCAAGCACAAACACCTCCAGCAATAGTACTAGTATCAATGGGATCAATGGCTTGCTCATTTTGTGGCTTCTGAACTTTTTGGACCAACTTGGGTAATATCGTAATTGGTTGTCAGTGCCAGTGTCAGTGTAGTTGTCATTGTCAGCAATTGTGTTTGCATATTGGGGAACTTCTACTGGGGAGACCACAAGATGGAAGCAGACTGCAATTTAGTCTAAAGAGGGAAGAGCTTTGGTTCGCTATGACCACTGAGGCGATGGCAACATTTGTTGCGCCTTATCTAACAGCGCCATCTGCACTTGTACTAATCTTTGACGACGCGAACGGTTAATCGACCATCGTTGCCAATGCCCTCAACCATCCCAAGACCCTCCTGCATTCAGAGGTCGTTATCGTAACGACGAAACGATTCCAAACTAAAGACGCCATATGTAAAACGAGAAGGCTTCGATTTTCGTGGGAGTAACTCAAGTCTGCGATTGAATTGAATTTAGAAAAATGCAAAGTTGGGTAGTGGGTATCTGGTATCAAGTATCTGGTAACAATAGTAACAGTCTAAGGGGCATTGTGGAATGGATGTTTATAGTCGTGTTTGATGGTCTTTTTCAAACTTGAATACTAACCTAGTAGTAAAATACAGTGTGCTGGAAAGTCGCCAGCAGTTGATTGCGGGCGTTGTTCAGGGATGCACAGCAACGCAAAGAGATAAAGAATTAGCTCTGTATCCACCCTCTCCTCTACTCTCACTCTGCTGGCTGCAAAACCGCAACGCTCCAGGTAACGGGAGCTAACTGCCACTAAAGTGTCTCATCTACAATTCCCTCTGATAAATCGAGTCGCAATAAATCCGCCCTTTTGATTCGAATCTATCGACCGCCACACTCGAATACCCGCACTCTAATGAAGTATTTGCATGCATCGGCGATTTTTTTCGTTTTAACTTTTAAACCTGAGTCAATGAGTCTGTAGTTGAGGCTGGAGAGAAAAAATAAGAAGGTGGTTGGGAGAAGCGAAGTTAATGCGCTGGGCGCGTTGGGCGACGCGAACGGTTGCGACGTTTTAATGAATACCCGCCCGATGGCCGCCTGGGACACGGACACGGGGAGCACACAACTTGCCCTCCGGCAACTTTGTCTCGCGACAGGTTACATTACCGACGTTCTTCTCACACCGCAGAGACTTTTATCGATATCCCATTCACTTTGCGTCAACTCCGTTAAATTAGATCAGATGCATTCAGACTTCAAACAGACCTGCTCTACGTAAACAGGGTTTAGGAGACGCGGGGACTGTGAGTTGATTACCTTAGACACATTTCGAGAAAACGATGCACTCACTTTGATCTGCCAAAGATTGCATTTCGGGTGATTTGGCTTTGAGCAACTACATCAATACAAACTATATACAACTACAGAAGAGGGGGAATCTAGTCAAACCAGTCTTGCACTCCCATCTACTTTCTAAAAGTAGAAACTGTAGTAGCTGTGTCCTCAACGAACATCAACTTCTATAACTCAAGCATAGATGGCGAATTTGTTAGGTATAAAGCTTTCTGTATTAAAATCAATACTAAAACTTGGACTAAAGGTGGCGTAACTAATATAAAATCAAGTAGTTTTAGTTACCATGGAAACAAGTTGTTACAAATCAATATTCTCCCATTATTTTACACATTTTTACTCTTGAATAAACCTGAATTAAAATGCAGTGCGCTGATTCGGAGGATTATCTCAAAACATCGACGTATTATCAAACTTGTGAGCTCCCCAAGCGTTTTGAATATCCCTCATGGTTTCATGGGTACGGAGCGCATCGGAAGCCACCCCTTCACCCCTTTTACCGCACTACGTCTAGCGATTATGGACGGTGAGTCATCCCTACACTAAATTCGTTTCTGAATGCTTTGAATTAATTATTTTTGTTTCGGGCAGTAACCCTCCGACTGTTCATACAGCACCAACGTGTTTCTACCCGAAGAATCAAGAATTCTCTTCATTCTTAGCCAAAACTGGAATGTACCGTAACTATTCACTAAATACCGGATTAGATCCACAAATTGTCTAATCATTTTTTTTGAAATATGACTGATAACACTCGTGATAATAAAATTCAAGTTCATTACAACGTGTTTTTTTCCGCCATTATCAAGATAAGATAATGTTTGAACTAAATGCATTTAAAATGTAATAATTACGCCAATTCGCAGCCGGATTTAACTGGAAACTCAAATTTGCAACTCTGCAAAGTTATAATCGAAGTTTAGCGTAAGCCACATTGCAAATAAATGCAATTATCGAATCATTCCCGCACGTGACCTGAATGTTTTGTAATAATTAGACTGATAACATTCCAACACATTCTGCGTGCCTTTGTGCGCGTCGCGCATGTTTTGAGCGTGTCGCTATATTTAATGAGCAAGTTAAGTGACCACAATAACAAAAACACCAAAAGTGAGATGACTATTTTCATCTCAAGTACAATTCTCAGCAGCTCAATGCTGCTTACTCGTGTTTGTCGCCTTGAAAGTGACATGAAACAATCGCTACTGGCTGATTTATCAATGAACATCGGAATGTGTACAAATCACAATGGACTCACAATCTGATAAGCTTCCATCTCCAATACCAAGTTGAATTCCAACTCAGATTAATTAATCATTGTGTGTTCAGATGTCTCAGTGAATCACGTCGTGAAAAAATGTGCTAAAATGGGTGATATTCCAGAAAAAGAAAAACTTCAGATTCTCAATGAAGAACAGAGTGATGTGGTTGACCTGGACGCGTTGTTAGTGCATTTGGGACAATTCGGAAAGTTTCAAAAACGTAATTTTTTCCTCATATCACTCATTGTTATCTATGCTGCATTCCCTTTTGGATATGTGTTCACCACGAGGAAATCAGAGTATAGATGTTTTATTGATGGATGTGATGATATCGAATCCCCTGTATATGAAACTTCATGGATGACTGCCGCTATACCTAATAGTACTATTGATCCAACCAAACCGGAACATTGTCATCGTTATCCATTGGGCCAAAATGTTTTTGGATGTAATCGAGACGCTTTTGTACAAACCGAGAAGATCCCATGTGAGAATTTTGTTTTTTTGAATGCTGATGCCACAATTGAGAAAGACGTAAGTGCTGATATTAAGTTTTGAATTAGTTTAATTAAGACCAATTAATTCGGTTGGAATTGCAGTTCAACGTCACGTGCGATGAGAATATACTTAAGTTAACAATGGTGGGAACTTTGGATAATCTCGGGGAGTTGTTTTTTCTGCCTTTATCTGGATTCATATCAGATAGGTACCAAAATTTTCCAAAACTCTTAAAAACACGTTTTTAAATATTAAATAATAAAATTTTAGATTTGGGAGAAGAACCACAATGATCCTTGGAGTCCTCGCTGGTACCTTCTGTGCCTTATTCAAATCCTTTGCTGTTTCCTACACCATGTTCCTCATGTTTGAAATTTTTGAAACTTTTCTAAGTTGTGGAGTATACAGCGCCGCCTATATCCTAGCTGTGGAATTAGTCCCTCCTGAAAAACGTGTCCTGGCTAGCACTGTAATATCCTGTGCTTTTGCAACAGGGGAAGCCATCTTGGGTTTGGTAGCATGGCTCACCGGATCATGGCGTACCATGTTACAAATCCTCTATGTCCCTGGAGTGTTTTTCATCTTCTACTTTTGGATAGTTAATGAATCAGTCAGATGGAACTTATCCAGAGGTGATACCAAAGCAGCAAAACGTACCTTGTTACATGTAGCAAGTGTAAACCGTACCACCATACCGGAAGACACTATCAGAAGACTAGGGATTCAAAAAAGTGATGATAACAAAAAGAGGGAATCATTCTGGACTGTTTTTACTTCTACTAAATTAAGCATAAGATTGCTGGTGTGTTCATTGGTATGGATATGCTGCGTGTTTGTTTACTATGGATTCACGTTACACGCAGTTGCCATTTCCGGGAATCTGTACTTCAACTTTATCGCGGTGACCTTCATCGAAATCCCAGCGTATTTCGTCTCGTATTTTACGCTGGATGTGTTTGGACGTAAAAAATCTCTCTGTTCTTCGTTAATTTTGGGAGGTCTGGCTAGTTTTGCATTTATATTCGTACCGGAAGGTTAGTATAAGATACTAAATTTAGTAAATTTACCAAAAAAGTTATTTGATTATTTTTAGCAAGCACAACCTTGAGACTGTTACTATTCCTGGTTGGAAAGTTCAGCGCGACAGTGGCATTCACAGCTTTATACATGTTTACAACCGAATTGTTTCCCACCTCTGTAAGACATCAATTACTATCCACATGCTCGACTTTCGGACGAATTGGATCAATGATTGCACCACAAATACCTCTGCTGGTATGTTCATTAACCACAAATACAAAAACAAACTTATAAAACTTACTAGACATTTATTACAACTATGTTATTCCTGTTTGTTTGTTATTTGTTATTTTCAGGCTCAAATACTACCATCACTGCCAATGATACTATTCGGAGTCATGGCGACTATAGCCGGAATACTTTCGCTGACATTCCCGGAAACGTTGAATACCCGTCTGCCGGATACAATTCACGAGGCTGAAAACATCCAACTTCAAACAGAATACGCTTAATTTTTTATTATCTTTCACTAATTGAACGGTTGTTTCCATGATGTAAATATTGTATCATGACGATGAGTGTAAATTAGTTTTAATTAACACCAATGTTAAATGTTAATGTTAATGCCAGCTTTTTTCAAGTTTAACGAACCACGCTGTTTTATTAATAACTGCCATCTGGGCGGGATTCATCTGCGCCTGCCAAAAAAACATTTTTTTTCTCTCGCCAAGGAAAAGTCGCTTCAGTCGCAATCCGCTCGTAAACTAATCAGTATTTGTACACTGCTTATCGTAACACGCTCTTGAATTTTATAATTACAATTTAAATAAAGAGTAATCGCACAAATTGTGGGTTCATTCTGTGTTTGGTGCTTTGGTGTCTAACATTCCTACAAATACATTTAATATAGAAAAAAAACGTGACAGTTGAACTGTTAAAACGGTTAAACAATGATTTAAACACGTGTCAGTATAAATTTTCATTGTTTTTGCGCTTGTAATAAACAGTTAAATAGTTTATATAAAGGAAGTGATTTGAATAGTTTCACTTTGTGTTGGTCAACATGACTGTCGAAACCTACGATATAAATGAGCTTTTGCCCAAGTTGAGTAGTTTTGGAAAATATCAGAAAAGAAATTTTTTCTTGATTTCCCTGGCGATTGTTTATTCCGCTGTTCAGTATAGTTATGTCTTCAGTACAAGAAGTACAAAACATCGGTAAGTGCCTCATCATCAATCAAACCAATTTTAATTTTTAAAAATTTTAAATTTTAAAAATTTCAGGTGTTATATTGAAGAATGTGATGATGATCTTCAGGTCCCTTTAGCCTATAACCAATCATGGCTGAAATATGCCATACCAGGTGATGGATCTACCTTTAAAAGTGTCAGAGATATGCCCCTGTAGATAATGATCATTCCTGTGGACCCAGGTCCTTTAATACTTCTGATATTCAAAAGTGTGATAGACTGGTAACTGATGGTAGTGACCTGACCACAATTGAACATGAGGTAATACCTTTTTCATCACTTTTTTGGGTTTTATTAATTCTGATGGTATTCCAGTTTAAATTAACCTGTGAAGATAACTTATGGAAGCTGACAGCTTTGGGTTCCTTGGATGAAATTGCAGAAGTATTATTTGCTCCTTTTGTTGGATACTTTTCTGATCGCCTGGGTCGTAAATGGGTCCTGATCTATTCTCTAGTATTAAGTGGGATCTGTGGTGTGGTCAAATCCCTTTCACCTTCTTATGTGGTCTTTGCTATAATGGAGTTTGTCACTGCTTGCTTCACAAGTGGGATCTATGGATCTGGGTTTATCCTTGGTGTGGAACTCCTGGCTGCTGAACAAAGAGTGTTTGGAAGTACCTTGATTGCTATAGTCTTTCCATTTGGGGAGATTCTACTAGGTCTAGGTGCTTGGTTTTCTCCATCATGGAGAGTGATGTTGAGTGTGCTCTATGCCCCTGGGGTCCTGTTCATGTGTTACTTCTGGTTGATGGATGACTCTTTAAGATTCCTCCTGGCTAATGGAAAGAATAAAAGGGCACGTAGGTTGATCAAACGTATAGCACGTGTAAATAAACTTAAAATCTCAGCGGATATCAAATTGGACAACACTGCACCTCCAACTAGTAATACAGGTATAGAGGTGGTACCCAAAGAAGAGGAGGATGATGATACGCAACGTGAGACCTTCTTTCAAGTATGTCAGTATCCATCCCTGGTGTTGAGGGTACTCAATTGTTCATTCAGTTGGATCAGTTGCACCTTTATCTATTATGGTCTTACTGTTTACTCTGTATCTCTTACTGGGAACATCTACTTGAACTTTATCATCATGGCCGTTATAGAACTACCAGGTTATGTGGTGTGTTACTATATGCTGGACTCTGTTGGAAGGAGGTTTACTTTGGTGGGATCTTTGATTGTCAGTGGAGTTGCTTGTTTATCCTGTGCTTTTATTCCTCAAGGTAGGTCTTGGGTCACCTCTATAACCTCTTTAGGTATACCTTCTAATAACAAACTTTGTTTCCTTTAGAATATTGGATTGTCCAGTTGATACTTCCAATCATAGGAAAACTAGCTGCAACCATGGCATTCAAGACCATCTATATTTATACTGCAGAGATGTTCCCTACAACTTTGAGGCATACCTTCTTAGCATTCTGTTCTATGTTTGGAAGAGCAGGTTCTATAGCAGCACCTCAACTTCCTTTACTAGCAACTGTCTCACCACTTCTACCTCCATTACTTTTTGGGATTTTGGGATTGATTGCTGGTATGTTAGCTTTCTTCTTTCCGGAAACAGCAGGTTGTAAACTACCAGACACCATGGCGGAATCACTAAATATAGGTAAAATAAACGACATCGAAATGAATAAAAAAATGTAATTCCATTGTTCATCATGATAATTTATTAAAATATATTATTTTACTAATAAAAATTTATTTTCAATAAATTTACATCTTACGTCCTCTTATGTTGGGTTATAAAAGTGAAAGTATTGATTTTTCAAGACTATTCTACAGTTTATTCTATAAAATTAAAACCTTTAGATATTGTACAATAGGCGGCGTTGGCAGTACTAAAATGTGAATAAAACCGGTCGTAAACAAATGAAATTGCTCCAGCGCCATTGTACGGAACTTTCGCAATGAATTAATTTGAAATGGTAATGCACTCTCGTTCCGCGCAATTACCGCCGCTGCGACGTGGGCAATTATTCACGATTTAAGTGAGTTAAACGCGCATTTTTCCAACGGTTGCAAACAAATTCCAACCTTAAATTACCACTTAATGCTCCGCTGGTAAATCTTCACCGCTCGCGAAGATAGAAAACTTTAGCACACGAATGTATCTTCGCTTTTTTTATTGCCCTAGATTTATTCGAAATCTTTTTTGTTTTGTTTGATTGAGTTGCGTCGTGGAATGAAACGAAGCGCAACGAAATAAAATCGAATTAATATGAACGATGATAATATTTTTCAAGGATCGAAACTCGGTGGAGAGTTTTTTTCTCGTTGGCCATTAATCTTCTCCGGAACAATGGCTCGCAACCGGATTATTATCCTGCGCGTTTCCAACGTTTTGCACCTATATAGAAAATTATTTCACATTTTAAAAATTAAGTTTTTACGACATTTTTACGACACAAAAAATATAAATATAAATTATTACAAATGTATAATGTGATACATGAGCAGGATAATTATCTGCTTAATACGACATTACAACGTATGTGTCTGGCTTGGACCCGACCTTGATTAATCAAATTAAGCAGACTAGTTCGGATTTACTCGCAATTTACATTCGACCATTCGAACTCACATTCACACATACACACGCACAGAATGTGTGGCGTGGCATATTCAGCGATTAAATGCGCATTTCGAAACCGTAATTAAATTGATGCGCGGTGCGGAAATCAAACACAATGTGTTTAAAGACTCACGGAATGAAAGCCATTGACTCTAACAATCATAACATAAATAATAAACTAAAAATAAAATAATGTCATAATATTTTGACTTCTTTGACGGAAATATACAGGATATTAAAAAACTCAAAAAATTTAAACTAAAATAATAAAATTTATTAAATTATATATAATAGTGCAGTAATAGTATTTTTTATCTCTTTAATTATGTCAAGCAAATGTTGATATAAAATTATACAGAGTGTTTCCTAATTTAATTTAAATTTTTAATGTTTCCAATGTTAATTTGCGTTGTTTCACAATATGTAACAATAGAAAAATTAGCATACTGTCGATTTTAAGCCGCCGGCTGGAATATATTACTGTCGAAATTCCTCACACGTGTATGACTTGTACACACTGCGTGTAAGAATACACTACTCAACAAAACAAAAAAAAGGTAAAATCAACACAATTCGTACACGATAACTATCGTTGTGGTTACAAATTGTTACATTTCGCAGTAGCGATAAAATTTGATGACGAATCGTAAAACTCCTAATCTCTATTTAATGTCTGCGTGTTATTTACAAAATTACCTTTTTTACGCAAGCAAAATTTCCGTTGTTAAAAAAATTAATTTAACATTTTCTGTAACACTCGGTAGATCCAAGTGAAAAACCGGACCGACAATAAATACGAACGCGACCCGTCTATATTTAAACGGCCACGCGGGAGGGTTATCGCGATAAATGTTGTACTTGCTTGTACAGCATGTACACCAGCGTAGATTATGCATGCACATATTCGTGCATACAGGGGTAGTGGTAAAGTGGAAGCAGATAATAGCACGCCGAGTGAAATTCAAGCCTCGACCACGGGCTATATATAGTCACTTATCAGTTCAACACGCTTTTTTTAAACTGCATTCATTAATAATCACAAAATTTTCATGGTTTACTGCAGTATGAACACACTGTATATTCTGTGTGCCCAAAGTCGGCATAAAAATATTGTTTCCAGCAATGCTACAACGCCGCGACGTACGTCAGGTCGTCAGGCTTTAGTTATACTTTAGTTGCCAGTCAATTGTCGAGTGCGTACGACTACGGATCGTTTTTTTATACTGTCTACACAACAGTAATTGTTTAAACTATAAACTAAACAATTTTTGAAAAATTCATTTTAATTTTATTTAAGTTTGCTTGTTTTACTTGGTTTTTGTTTGAGTGGGTGTGTGTGTTGATTACTTTTTGCTAATTTTTTTGGAAAGTGTGAAATTGTGACGTCACTTGACATCAACATCTTTCTGTTTGTTCTTTGTTGCTATATAAATTCGCGCGCGATTAAACATCATCACCACGTGTAGGCATCGCGCGAGGAAAATTTCGCATCACATTCAAAACCTGACCTGACCACGCAAGGTAAAGTTGTTGCTTGTTTCGCAAAATGGATTTAGACAAAATCTTATTAGACATTGGAGGTCTCGGCAAGTATCAGATAAAGCGGTACGCTCTTCTGTGCTTGGTACTAATTTTCGCCACCTTTCCAACACTCAGCTACGTTTTTACAGCTAGGGATGTCGATTATCGGTAAGTTTAAACTAAAAATTTTTTTTTTATTTTTCCAAATTTTTTTTGGAATTTTTAGATGTTATATTGATGGCTGTGATTTGCCAAATACAATACCAAATTACAATGCTTCCTGGGTGCAGTATTCTGTACCTTACAAAAATGGCCTACCCAGTAAGTGCCAAAGGTATCAACGCACGGATACCCGCTGTAATGGTTGGGCCTTCAACCGGAACCAAACTGTCGGATGTGATCGATTTGTTTATCGGAACAAAGATGATTCTACAATAGCCACAGATGTATGTTAAAAATTTTTCTCAAAAATTTTAAAAAATTAAAAAAAAAAAAATTTTTTTTTTTTCTAAAATTTTAGTTCAATATAGTTTGTGAGGAGAACCTATGGAAGTTAACCATAGTTGGTTCGATAAACAACATTGGTTTTCTACTTGGCCTGCCATTATCAGGTTTTATTTCCGATAGGTATGTAAATGTTGTTAGCGTGTTCAAGTACAGGAATATATTAGCACTTATAAATTGCATCATTTTTGGCGGCTGTATAAATTTAATCTCTTGATCAAATATTTGCACGATCAATATTTGGTTCGGTGTAGGTAATTACAAAACAAGATTCCCTCATCTTGGAAACTTACAATTCTTGACACATGGCGCCCCTGGTAATCTATATTTAGATAAGTAACTTATTTGTTTTTTACGTTTTTAGATACGGTCGGAAAACGCTAATGTTGTTTGCGATATTGTTTAGCACGATAATGGGTATAACAAAATCGCTAAGTCCAAACTATTTGTTTTTCGTGACGTTTGAGTTTCTGGACATGATGCTCGGAGCTGGTCTCTACACAGCCGCATACATTCTAGGTAAACAATAGATATTTTAGCCCTGCTCTGGGACTAAACTGCATTCTTTCTGGATAATTTAGGAATGGAACTGCTCGTGCCTGAGTATAGAGTAATGGGGAGCACGATCATGTCGAGCGCGTTCGCGCTGGGCGAAGCGTTGATCGGTGTGACGGCCTGGTTCGTACCCTGGAGGATATTTTTACGCATTCTATACATACCGGGTGTACTCTTTGTATCATGCTATTGGCTTACAGATGAGTCTGTCAGATGGATGATATCCAACGATCGCAACGAGGAAGCTGCCTGTGCGTTGAAGAAAATCGCCGCACAAAATGGCCGTCGATTAGATGAAGCTGTGGTCAAACGGTTGCATCTTGAAGGAATTGGTGGGCCGGAACACCATCATCATACGGATACATTTTTGGAAGCGCTGAGGTCACCTGCATTACTTATACGTCTTGCAAATTGTTCACTGGCGTGGATCAGCTGCACGTTTGTGTATTACGGGCTAACGATGCATTCAGTAGGCATTTCAGGAAATGTCTATGTCAACTTCATAGCTGTCTCTCTTATAGAGATCCCTGCGTATGTGCTAGCGAACGTGTTGCTGAATAAGTTAGGAAGGAGGGCTACGTTGGCGGCGTCGTTCATGACCAGTGGGTTGGCCTGTGTTGGGTTTGTCTTCATTCCAGAATGTATTACCTTTACTCCCTGAAACTCCCCAAGGAATTTCCCAACTGACATTTTATGATTTCAGCTGATGGCACTCTGAGGTTAATCGTGTTCCTATTGGGCAAGTTTTCAGCGACTGTTTCCTATGCTACCATTTACTTGTATACCACTGAGATGTTCCCGACCAGTTTGAGGCATACCTTCATGTCGACCTGTTCTATGTTCGGAAGGATTGGTTCCATCATTGCTCCGCAAGTTCCTATATTGGTAATATATCAGGATATACAGGGGAAATAGAAAATTTATAAAAAAAATTAATTTCAGGCGCAGATTTCTCAATCACTTCCTCTGTTCTTATTTGCATCAATGGCGGGGACTTCCGGGTTGCTTTCGTTATTCTTCCCGGAAACTTTGAACGTAAAACTGCCGGATACAATCGTGGATGCTGTGAATATGGGACGACAGGAGAATAATAATAAAATGCTCAAAGCGTAACCAAAATTTAAAAAAACCAAGAGATTTTTTTCGCAATATTTGCGATGATTTTTACAAAACTAGTTTATATTACTCTTAATTTAAAAAAGTTTTAACTAGTTTGTAGTGCAACGTGTATAATGCTCATATTATATGTTATCCGGATAAAGTAGTGGCATCTGCACTTCTTTTTTGTATTTATTTGTTGATTATATTAAAGATTTATCAAAAATTAATCAGTTTTTATTACAAAATACCTTTAGCAGAAAAATCCAGTAGGGTTAAAGACAGGAAGACAGAAAGAATGTCGGTAAATAAGCAGCGTGCGCGCCGCAAAAGAGACTCGAGTAGCATGAGAATTTATAGGGTCGTAACTATAAGCAAAACACTATAACAGATTCGCCGGGCTCGTAATAAAAAAGCGCGAGCAAGATGAGCCGGAATAAGCATCACATACGCACACCTTCCCCCCAACGACATTCCAGAGCCCCCTGTGGTAACATCCAGGGTTATTTTAGGGTGTCTCCCGAAGGGCTCGTATAAGTCACGGATAGTTGTCACACGACAGCTTCACGCGTACACAGTTTATAAACTCAGTTCGTAAAAGCGGAAAACCGGAAATGGGTCGAAATCGACGAGATTTTAATGACGGCACTTTTATTTCTAATAAAAAATAAGCAACTCAATTTTTTTTTACTATTTCACGTCATATACTGAAGAAATAATTATAAAAAAAATGTTTTGCAACTGAAAATATTTATATAGTAATGTATAAAATGAGATAAGTAGAGCGTTAAAAACATGCGCTTAATACCTGTTAACTCTGGCGGGTTGGGTATAACACGTGCCCGAATATGACGACGTAATGGCCGCCGTAATACAGAGCGTGGCGTGCTGAATTTAAATTACGTCGTCATCGCGACACAATTCACGTCTGCGCTGCAATTTGCGATTGCGCACGTAGCACATGCGAATATTGCAAACAAACTCACACAAGTGGAACCCTATTCCCTTCCTCTCCCCATACCCACCCACTACAAATAATAAACAAAATATTTAATATAGTTAATATTAATTTCATACAACTCGACGAATTTCAAGTCAACAACCAAACTAGCAGCGGAAATTCTGAATTCACTTCGACTTCATATTAATTAACATCGTCAGATACGAGTATGCTGAACTAATAACCTAAAATATACATGTGAGGTTATGTATGTGGCTCACAAGTAGTCTAATTATTAATAATTGAGTTACGGCGAACTACTTACCGCTAGGAATGTATTAAACGATAAGTTTTTGATATTGGACGCGTTGAGGAATTGAGGTTTCTGTGACCGCATGATGACCATGAAGAGGTCCTTTTGAAAGGATACTTTGTATTCATACCATTTGATGGCGTAAGCTGTTTCTGCTACAGCAATACTCTGAAAAACATCAGGGTATGTTTTAGGAGGTACCAGGTGAGGAAAAGGGACCTACCTCATCCATTAATACTTGTCCTCCAAAGTTTACTAAAAGGAGCATGGCTATCCATCCAAGGAGATGGAGACCAAAACGGATACGATCAGTGAAGCCTACTATTAACAGGACAAAACCAAGGAGACTGATGGCAAATGATGGTACCACTATAAACATGGTCATTTGGGTTCCGAAGGCTTCGTTGACATCTTCACAAAGTCTTCAGGATCAAATTAACATGAATTTAAAAAATGCTTTAAAAGAGGTTAAAGTCTCACCTGATGATTGCACTGTGGTAATGGATACTCCTATGTAAAAGTTTCTGATCCCCATTGTTATCATCAATACTCAACATGAGTTTCCTCAGTTCCCGATAATGGTAAACACATTGCATGACCACTGAACAGATCAACATGGTCAAGGTAACAAACAGACAAGTCACACAGAATATCAAATAAATCTGATGGAAGTAGCTAACTGCCCAGATCACCTTCAAGACCTTCTCATTCATGTACATTGAAAAAGGTATGCGTACCCTACATGCCAACCCACATGGTATACCATATTTGATCATACTAGGAGTTAGGTTATTTCTACAGTCCCTTAAAGCTGATGGTAGGATAGGCATCAAGGAGTATGATATGGTACCAATTGTAGAATACATTAAGAGAAATTTGGTAAACCAAGTTGCTTTTCTGTCTACTTCTATGATTTCATCAATGGGTCTGAAGAACTTCATGCGTTCAACTGTTGCGAGGACTTTGACCATGAGATCTCCGTTTGATAAGCAACAGACTCCTAGGTAGTGGTAACCTGCGTGACAACAGACTGCGAGGACAGGTTCCAGGAGTTCTATAGTTTTAGATTCATCTTCTAAAAATTATCAAAAAGGTTTTAAAATGATCTGGGGTGGTGTGGGGACTTACCTATTAGTAAAGCAATCACATCATACATCAAGGGCATTGTTGTGGGTAACAGGGACCAACAAAAGAAGAAGCGTCGGAATCTTTTCCAAAATTTTCCAAAAATGTTTAGTTTTGAATCATCTGTATCTTCTTCAGGCCAGAGGAAGAACCCTTTAAGGATTCTTTTCTGAACCTTTGCAAATTCATACTGATCAACTTCTTCCATGTTTAAAACTTGACTAAAGAAACACTTTCATTTTAAAAGTATTTATAGACTTAGAAATCCTGTCAATTTGAGATATCCTGTCATTATCTCATCAAAACCAGACAAAAAGAATATTTCATCAAAAAAACTCTTCCCATCAAACAAATATTCTTATATCTTGAAATTTAATACTGTTTTCATCCACTTGTCTTAACCATCTCTTCAAATCAATGTTTATCGTCTAATTCTAACTCTAGACCTATTATATTTGTCTTTATAAAGTCTGTAAGTCAAATAAAAGTTTTCTAAGAAGAGATTTTCCTAATATGACGTATATTAAGCGGTTTTTTCTCGTCTATTTGTTTTTGTTTAGGTGCGCACAGCACGAAATGAATATTTTAGTAGGTATCAACCGACCGAAGTGGAAATATTATGTAAACATGTCAGTTACGTCTGTCTTACTTGTACCGTCGCACTGAGCTTCGCAGACGTAGCTACAAATGAAATATTCTCTTTCGCAATTGCAAAAGTCACTTTCAACCAAATGAATAAAATCAATTTTTGGGGAGTTAAATCCTATCAGTTACAGAAAATTATTCAACTCGCATATTGTGCTTTGCACCATCTGGGATTTATATTTTATAAACGTACATTCAATCAATTAATGAGTAAAATCTCCGAAATTCTAAAATTACGAGTATTACCATGGCAGGATGTATTTTATGTGAGCACGTCCATACTAATTAAAATCGTGCATGCTGAGTCCAACTAGAGATAATCATTCGAGTTCCATGAAATTTTTTTTTTGAAAAATCAATGCGAAATGATCAAAAAACAGCAAAGCTTTGAGAAAAAAAAGTTGTCTGCTCCACGCAGCGGGTGCGTGTGTTTTGTACACGACGCTATAATGAATAACAATCCGCTTGTTCGTTTTGGAGTTTCGGTCAACCCAACACCACCCCCAAGCCACCCCCAGTGGCACTATGTGCTGTCGTGGCCTGTCCTGCTCTGTAGCCGAATATTGGATTTTCTGCAAAGGCATAAAGCCGCGACGCGTACAAAAATGTCCGCACAAAAGACACCACAAAGTCATTTATCAATGTTTTTAAATCGCGGATTATGCTTTCGTTCTGCGTGAAATTCTCATTTGTATAGATTTGGGCATTTGCTGCGCTTTTTTGCGTTTTGCAACTTGCAAAAACAACACGTCTGCAACTTTAAAAAAGCATGTGACGCTAAAAAATATGATTTAAGCTCCGCCCATTAGACTTAAGTCATGTGGGCGGAGCATACGGAGCTTTTTTTAACGTTTTCTCAATAACCGAAGCGTATAACTGGTTATAATTGTGATGAATGTAATCATCATGCATGTGAAAATCTACGAGCTCGTTGAAAAATTGTTAAAAACGTTTCCAATAGCTATGCGAACCCTTATGCTTACGACCAACTTTAAACACTTTATTTGTAGAGTTAGTGGAGTAGCGAGTTTAGCGGAGTGAAAAATTTTAGTTTTTTGCTTGGCATTTTTTTAATTTTACAAATATTGTAAAACTGTTTTTCGCATAACATGCGAGATTAAATTCTCTTTCATATGATATATTTTCCAATATTGTGCATATAATATTTTTGGAGATATTCTTATGTTTACTACCAACTTTAAACACTTTATTTGTAGAGTTAGTGGAGTAGCGACTCTAGCGGCGTGAAAAATTTTATTTTTTTGCTTGGCATTTTTTTAATTCTACAAATATTTTAAAACTGTTTTTAGCATAACATGCGAGATTAAATTCTCTTTAATATGATATATTTTCCAATATTGTGCAATTAATATTTTTGGAGATATTCTTATATTTACTACCAACTTTAAACACTTCATTTGTAGAGTTAGTTTTTAGCGACTCTAGCGACGTGAAAAATTTTAGTTTTTTGCTTGGCATTTATTCAATTTTTCAAATATTTTAAAACTGTTTTTAGCATAACATGCGAGATTAAATTCTCTTTAATATGATATATTTTCCAATATTGTGCAATTAATATTTTTGGAGATATTCTTATGTTTACTACCAACTTTAAACACTTTATTTGTAGAGTTAGTTTTTAGCGACTCTAGCGGCGTAAAAATTTTAGTTTTTGTTTGGCATTTTTAATTTTACAAATATTGTAAAACTGTTTTTAGCATGACATGCGAGATTAAATTCTCTTTTATTTGATATATTTATCAATATTGTGCAATTAATATTTTCGGAGAAATAAGAACAGAGACGAAAGTTTCCATCTACAAGGCAGTAGTCAGGCCCATATTTACATACTCGGCAGAAACGCGTGCAGAGACGACAACCACACAGAGATTGCTCACCACCGCGGAAATGAGGACACTAAGAAACATAGATGGCAAAACACTGCTCGACCGGATAAAGAACGAAGACATCAGAAGAGCGTGCAACAACATAGAAGACATAACACAATTTGCAAAAGACGCAAAATCGAGTGGAACGAACACATAGAACGGATGGACGAAACCAGAATAGTCCGAATAGCCAGGGACAAATCGCCAAGGGGAAAGCGATCCCTGGGAAGCGAAAGAGATGGAGCGACCACCTAAACCCTGTCTGAAGTAGGAACAGGCAATATGCCTACAAAAGAAGAAGAAGAAGAAGAAGAAGAATATTTTCGGAAATATTCTTAGGTTTACTACCAACTTTAAACACTTTATTTGTAGAGTTAGTTTTTAGCGACTCTAGCGGCGTGAAAAATTTTAGTTTTTTGCTTGGCATTTTTTCAAATATTTTAAAACTATTTTTTGCCTTTTGCAACTTGCAAAAACAACACGTCTGCAACTTTTTTACCCTTAAAAAAGCATGTGACGCAAAAAAATATGATTTAAGCTCCGCCCATTAGACTTAAGTCATGTGGGCGGAGCATACGGATCTTTTTTTAACATTTTTTAACGTTTTCTCAATAACCGAAGCGTATAACTGGTTATAATTGTGATGAATGTAATCATCATGCATGTGAAAATCTACCAGCTCGTTGAAAAATCGTTAAAAACGTTTCCAATAGCTACGCGAACCGAACCGCAGGTAACGAGCGCGACCTCACATCGGGCAACAACCAAAAATCGAAAAAAAGCTCGCCGCATGTGTGTGTTCGCAGGCATGAAAACCCCACGCAATAAAGCGAAAACTCGCACTCATTGAGCTTTTTTTATTAACTGGTGTTTCCTCGCCGGTGGTAATTAGCTCGATTCAAAATCTCGTGATTGAATCCATGCGTGCCAGATGGCTTTCGTATAAATAGACGTTTAATGATGCGTTTTATTGGACCGCTCTCGACGCTCGACAGATCCCAGTCGCTGTTTTGTTCCATGTTTTACTCGCTTTAAAACGCATTTATAATAAATTAAAATAAAAACAATTTTTCCCCAAAAAATTTCTAATTATTTGGATGAGTTGGATGAGTACCAGGTAAAAATTGAGAGCTCCTGAAAGCTTCTTGGACGAGTTGACGTGAATTATTTTTAAAACCAGTGCGCTCATCAATCAAGCCCCGGCGACAATTAAAACCTCGCCGAGACATCGGATCAGAAAGGCAATCATTTCGACATGAAAGAAGTCTAGTTGTCGTTTTGAATTACGCGGTTATTAATGATCGTGGATTATAGTCAAACAATTTAAAAATGACCAATCAAGAACACATTTTCCCGCGCTCGAGCTCGCCAGACGCGCCGGTAGACGTAAGACGCAAGAAAGGAAAACTAATTAAAGCGTTAAACGGCTGTTACTCATTTAATAACTCAATTAACGTATGATGCGCGCGCGGCACGTAATTAAACTGAAGGGTCATGACAGCGTGAAACGCAAGGGCATTAGACACGCAATCATACAACCGTACAAGCGAGTTGGGAACAAAGTACGCCCTACGTGTTTCATACGCTTATATTACATATATGTAGCCTTAACTTTTACCCTTATGCTTACGACCAACTTTAAACACTTTATTTGTAGAATTAGTGGAGTAGTGAGTTAAGCGGAGTGAAAAATTTTAGTTTTTTGCTTGGCATTTTTACAATTTTGCAAATATTTTAAAACTGTTTTTATCAAAATATGTGTAATTAAATTCTCTTTAAAATGATATATTCATCCATATTGTGCAATTAATATTTTCGGAGATATTCTAATATTTACTACCAGATTTTAACACTTTATTTGCAGAGTTATTTGAGTTTAGCGGAGTGAAAAATTTTAGTTTATTGCTTGGCATTTTTTCAATTTTACAAATATTTTAAAACTGTTTTTAGCATAGCATGCGAGATTAAATTCTCTATAATATGATATATTTTCCAACATTGTGCAATTAATATTTTTGGAGATATTCTTATATTTACTACCCACTTTAAACACTTTATTTGTAGAGTTAATTTTTAGCAACTCTAGCGACGTGAAAAATTTTAGTTTCTTGCTTGGCATTTCTATAATGTTGTAAATATTTTAATACTTATTTCACCAAAATATGCGTGATTAAATTCTGTTTAATATGATATACATATCAATATTGTGCAATTAATATTTTCGGAGATATTTGAATTCTTACAAAAGCTTTAAAAACTTTATTCGTTTTTTTGTTGCGAGTCTTGCAAAATGAAAAATTGTAGTTTTTTATTTGGAATTTCAACAATTTTAAAAATATTGTAACTCACTTTTTACTAGAAGATGCGTAAATAAATTCTTTTTAATTTGATATATCTACCAATATTGTGCTTTTATTATTTTCGAAGATATTCTTATGTTTACAACCAACCTTAAACACTTTATTTGGTGAGTTAATTTTTTAGCAATTTCAGCCGCGTGAAAAATTATTGTTTTTTGCTTGGCATTTTTATAATTTTGCAAATATTTTAAAACTGTTTTCAGCATAACATTCGTGATTAAATTCTCTTCAATATGATATATCTATTAATATTGTGCCAATAATATTTTTGGAGATATTTAATGTTTTGTTCGAAAATTTTACGCAAAAAAATGAATAAAATTAAAAATAACATAAAACTGATTTCCAATTTAATTTTTATTGTTTTTCCAATAATAATCAAAACAGAGTTATGCCCTAATGTAAAATATCAATACACTCATCATAGGTAAGCATTATAACCGCATAAATCATTACAGCTTTTGAAGCCCAGTAATTTATTAGCAGAGAGTGGCATTAATTTAACTGCAATTTAATCAGTTCCAGCCGGGGCGGCGCGTATGCAACATTCATAATATAAACCATAAAATTTATGAATAATTCAGCGGGTGTGCAACAGGACAAGGCAATGCCATAATGTGACATGATCTATATGATCTCTACCTATACATTTCTATACAGCAAATAATAATTTATTTAAAAAGCGCTCAACACTTCTGTTAGCATATTTTAAAATAAATTATATTGAATATTCAGCGCTGCAGTAGGGGTAGTTACCCCCCGTCGATGACAAAAGCTCTTGAATAGAGCGCATTCTTATAACAGCTCACAACGGGTGGTTTTATTCCAACACTTTATTTTTTTGATTTTGATTTTTATGAATAATTTAGTGCTCTGCAAATTAATAAACGCATTAATAACAAATGTGATTAAAATTTCTAAATTTAAAATGCAATTAAATGCCCATAATGAAATTTTAGCATAATAAATTAACACTTGTTTATATATTTATTATTGAATAGCATGTTATTTTGGTAAAACGTCAATTATTTGTTTTCATAAAATCTCCGCAAACAATGCGAGCTTAATTAGAAATTGATATCAATCTTGAAGCCTTGTAGCGTGTTTATAATTAAGTCTCGACGAGTTTCAACTTTTCATCAGCCTCACTTTATCTGGTTTTAATTGTTTGCACGCTTAACATTTACATTTTATTCTTATCTGTTTATCTCTTGGACCATTTCCCGCGTGCGGAAGCAAAACAAAACAAAACGCAAAAATTGATGAAGTAAAAATAATCATTCAAGAGGACGACAAGCGAAATGCGAGAAAACGAGAAAAAAATAATAAAACAACAAGATAATGAGTGGGATGTTGTTTGTTTGTTGTTTTGTTGTTTGTTAATGAGTACAAGTAAATTAAGAATACAGAATAAAATAAAAAAAAGAATGGAACACCCAGGGAGATAAAATTAGAACAAAAATAGTTTAGGAAATTTTAATTCAAAAACACTTCTTGCGCGACAACATCTTGAGCATCTTGTAGTACATGGGTCATGTGGTTGCTATTCTCATCTCGTTGGCACCTTAAAAATGCTCAACTTGTATGCTCGCCGCGAGGAGTGAGCCAACCAGTCAACACATCACTCCGTCCGGCTCAACACTTGTCCGCACTGTGCTCAACGTTGATATAACAATCCAACTCTCCGAATTCGCCAAATTATCAAACTACGTGCTAAACTTAAATTCCCACCGACTAAGTTTAAACTAGATTCAATCTGGAGACAATCGGCGACAATATTCCGGACTAATTTCTTTTGTGACTTAACTATGAGTATAATAGTGATTCAGTGCAAAGTGGATAAAAGTACTTGCTGAGGATGTGTCGGATTTTCCCGGGATATTCGGAGACAATTCTACGCTTTGTGCAACTCGTCCAACTTTTGCTCATCGTTACGCGTCCATCTTTCGCAGGTGAATTTTATTGCTTTACAAACTATCACACAATACCAAGTAATACCAAGTAGTTAAAAAATTGCTAACTTTTAAGGTCTCTCTTCTATCTTAATTGCTATTGTTCATTTCTTGATGTTGTTCTTGTAGTGCTTCATTTTCCTTTCCTCTACGCCATCGTCTTGGTTTCTTCTCGCGGGCTTTATCCGGTAATAAGATTTCGTCGGCGTTCGTCGAGTCGACAAAACTTTGTTTGCTAGTTTCGCGCGCTTTACATCTACATCTACGTGTGCGTAATTTGAGCAGCGAGAGTTACGCCACGAGGAGATAATGCACGGCCGGAAGTTTTTTGCGTGGAGCGAAATTTAAAGCGGCGTTCAACTTACTTCAACCTGCACTTGCATGCGACATCTTTTGTTCCCCAACATAATCGAGCTCGAGTCCCTGGAGGAAGGTTGGAGGGTTTGGAGCCACGTGCTTTATCTACACTTACGCATGTAAACACGTTAGGGTGTTCTGTTGGGACATTCTTCAAACATTCACACATTGCGAACAAGGTTTTGTTGGTTAATAGGTTACAGTTAAAAATATCTGTGTCCGCATGCCAACAATTATTTCGAAGGAATTCTGCGTCGAAAAATTAGCCTCGTTAGTTTGCCACATAGCGATGACAGGTTAAATCGTTAGGATTGCAGAAAAAAGCGCCGTTAAATTTGAGCATTGTTAAAACCCTCGCCCCTTTTCCTTAGTCCGTATCCACTTGTCCCTAGTTCCAGTTCTTTTGTGCCTCGGCGTGAAGAAACAGAAAAAGAAAAAGGGACGCAGAAGCTTTGTGTCTGTGTAGGTTATGAGCGCGGACAGTTACCAACACGGAAAGCGAGATTTGCGCTAGTTAGACGCCCGCCGCACGCGCTAATAGTGAGTAGTAAAAGTATAAAACTTTTGTTGTTAAATTAGTGAGTCCCCGGAGATTCCAAACAACACCACAGCCGACTTTCTGCAACAACTTCTCTGTGTGCCAAAAATTTATTTCCAGAATATATAAAGATCAAAGTAATCTCTTCTAAAAATATAATAAATAAATTTTTGAGTTGAGTTTAATTTTTGGATATTCTGTATAAGATGGAGAAGATAAACCTCGTCGGTTGGTTTAATGAAGTTAAGCGATACTTATTATGTGCGTTGTTGTGCAAGTTTAGGTTTACCTTGCGCTCGCAGTCAGGAAAGTTGGTGAATAATGTACTCGGGAAACTTTTCGAACATGCTTGTCGATGATGGCACGACGGGGCCGGTTAGTTGAACTTCGACGCCCGCACAACTTGGGCGCTACCCTATGACATAATAAGCGCGGCTGGATTTTGACTTTTATTGGACGTAAAATTTCCGAACGTGCGCGTGTGTATCCAGAATTCCAGTCAGCTGTCGGCCATAAAAAGAACGTGGCTATTCGAAAACAATACGTGAACTAGAATTGGGTTATTTTTATCCGGAGACCTGTCAGTAGAGTAATAGTTTTCATTAAGTCTATTTTGTAGGATATAAACACTCTGGCACATGGCACTCTACATGATTTGAATATCCACGACCATAAACCTCTCGGACAACGTTGATCACCCTGTTGTGGTTGTATTGTGTACGTGTGTGTGATTGTTAATTGAGGTCCTGTGTTTGGGCCATTCTACGCAACCGAGGCATTATTATTGCGGTATCCTAGGATGCTTTGATAACATTTGGTAATATTTGATAATAGTCATGATCTCCGACTATCATGACCAAGATGATTACCCAAACTTAGCACCTTGTCTTTGTGTACCTTTGGGGGTTGTAAGAAGGGTCTTTCTTGGTATAAACAGGAGAAAACAATTTGTATACGGGTGTGGTATGAAGATATCGTGGGAATATGTTGACAAAACTATTAAATCAGTCATCTGGCGATCTGCCCAGATGTGTTTACTGCCTGGGGGTTTCATCGGCGGCACTTAAATCGCCATAAAATTCGAGGTATCCAATACACAATCCACGGTTGCACAGATCAATAAAACCCTCATCGGAATGATGATAATTTCGCGGTTTAAAGCCTTGAAAATTTTGATTAAGTACATTCTTAACAGTCTGGTGCCCAAACGCAATTAGCAGCTTTAAAGCCATGCAAGTATTTTAAGACTTAAAGTCTTACGAAGACAATTCGAATTCATATTCTTGGCCGGCATCCAGAAACGGAATTTTTAAGTAACTTTAAGACTTAGTACACACACAACCATAAATCTATCCAGTGATGAGTTGAGAAAATAAAAAATAAAAAAAACTGTCAATGTCATTCCCAAAAGTGAAGCGTGTGAAGAGACTCGAACGAAAACCCAGAAACGTGCAAACAATTGTTCGGTGGTGGAACCTTACACACGCGTACACACTCAGATTGTTGACAGATCCTTATCCGTGATAATAAATCAACCCCTGTGCGCAACCTAAAAAAGCAGTGCCTACTTGAAAATGTCAGCTCCCAAATATTTCATAGTCGATCTCGATCACCACCATTGTGTGTGTATCTGAATGAATGGTGGTTGGTTTTAATTTTCGCGCACGTGGCTGGCGTGTGATTGAGATTTCAACACTCAATTCCGAATTCAATATCAGGCGGGGAGTTCCCTTCGTTTAGTGTCTCGGGAGTTGAAAACTTTCATGCATAATTTCCACCCGGGCGAAGGGAAACAAAACGCACGCTCGGAAAAGGAACGAAAGAATGGCGCAGAGTTCGAATTTATGAGAACTGATTAAGCACTCGTGAATAAAAAAGAGGCCCTCGTTATGGTTATTAGGAATATTTACATAAAACCCAAGGCAAGACTACTACTTGTACTCGAAAGCAATTTTAAACAAAAAAAAACCAACCCACCAGCCGCAAAATACATAATTGCATCGTGGAATTATTTCTGGAAAATTATCTACTTTGGGGCAAAAAGTGTTCTCTCAATTAAAGCGCACACTTTTCGCGTTAATAATGCACTTTGTACATACAAAGTGCGCTCGCAACTTGGATCAATATTAAGGTGAGACTTACGAAAAATTAACACTTACCAAGTTGATCACACTTGGTAGCCAACTCTGAATAAACTACGAAAGTTCATTTTAAGATAATTAAAAAATTCCAAAGCGTTGCAGGAGCTTTGTATAGTAATTTCCGCCCTCGGTAAAAACACGTCTTACTTGCCAGAACGATGAAATTCTGTATTAAATTATTTCACGTGAGCAGAACATCATAAATTTAGCTGTTGAGGTAATCCACTTAAAATCAATCCATGTTTTGACATTCCCAGCAATCCATTTACGTGTTTACCTGCCTCTAGTAATACTAATACGCGTAATCGTCAGGCGCCATTGTTTTCACGTTCATCTCCCCACAAATGCAGTCGTAATGAAATTGCTGCTTCGCAATTAATTACTAGCGGTGTCAAACTCATCACCTTGCTTACCATATCAACCAATGATTAGTCGAACATATATTTGACATGATTTTATACTTCACTAGCTGATATTTGAGGTTATGTTTGATTTTTTATGTTTTTAGGTTATGTATCAGAAATATATGGCCAGGATGATAATAATCCACGTTTTGATGCGATTATAAGTGGAATTGAAGCAAGAATAGCCGAAACAGTATTATTACCATGTACAGTGAGGAATACAGGAGATAAAGTGGTAAGTTTTTCTGTCTATAGAGCGTATTTAGTGCATAGAAGCAATTAACTAATAACACCCATGAATATCATGCACGACTTGGTCCTTTCGCTCCAATATTAACCGAGCTTACAGTGTGCTTGGCAAATCAGACGTGCGCCATGTTAATTACGCGTCGCAAAACGCAAGTCGATGTGCGCAATGGCCCAAAATTGCAAAGGGGGTGAGCTGTCAATGTAGGTTATGTACGTGTGTGTGTGTGTGTATGCAACTATGCGTGCGATTTAGCGAACACGAGCGCGCGCACATAAATCAACTTGATACCTAATTCTGCGATTCGCTGCTTCGATATTCTCGGCACTCGGCACTCGGTTTCTTGTGGGTGGCGCAGGGAGAGCGTGGCTTCGACCTTTGCTTTGAATCATCCACTAATTGAGTTCGATTCGCAGTACTTTGTGTTGCGCACAACATTCGCCGACTTAAGGGAATAGATTGCCCATTGCGAAGCAAGCTTGAAACAGCTTCGAATTATTATCGGGTATCAAATTTCGAGGTCCAATTACTTTTGTTACACAAGTGCAGAAAATTGACTCGGAATAAATTCATGGTAAAACCGGTCCTGTTGGGTTTACCTGCGATCGACGACTCATCCATGTAAGCAATAATTAAACCAAACACAACGACGACGCCCAAATTGAATGCTGAGAGAAGCGTATGAAAAGCGAATTGATTGAGCGCGCTCCAAAGCGAAAATGCCAATGCAAACAAACTGGTTACTTATTAACCATTTCGGCGGTATTGGAATTGTCGTACTCGTATAAAATCAACTATAAACTGGTCGACTTTTCGAGGTGGGTTTTCAATTAAAAACTTCACACGACAATTGCAAACCGGTGCGTGTATTGTGTTCGGAATCCGTGGATCCATAATGGGTAAAGTGCTCTCGCGTCATAAGTACATACTCGCATCGGGGCACACGCGGTAAGTGTAAATTAACACAACCGTAAATTACGAGATGCACACGAGGCGAGGAGTGCGTTCGTTGCCGGGGCGACAGCCCGAATGGATCCAATTAAAACCGGCGCTGTGATTTACCGTCTGTCCGATTGATTTAATAACAACATCTTTTGTTTTCCTTACAAAGACTTGAAAAAAAGCGAGAAAAAAAATTAATTAATTTTTCATTGCTGAAATTGCAAGAAATTAAAAGTATTTGCTTACAATATTTAATTAAATGTACCATTTTGCTATTTTATTACTGGGAATTGAAATAGAACGGCCTTTTGTTATGTTGTACTGTTACAAATTGCACATTGCAGCGCTCGTATTGTGCTGTAGAAAAAATGCAAATTAGACAGATTCCACGCGTAATTAGATTGAAGTAAAAAAAATATATTGCGTCCAAGCAACAATGCAATGCGAGTCGGCACTGCGCACATCATCCTTTCGTCTGCATCGCGAGTTGTAAATTAATTTAACACTCGCTCCGAGCCACGAAACTCGAGACTCGAAAAGTAAAGCGCCCGCATTAGGATTTTCGTTTTATTTTTGTTTACGCATAAAAAACTGTTTCATTACTTTTATTTCAGTCATAATAATCTATCTATATATATATAAAAATGAATTGTTGTTCGTTAGTCTCGCTAAAACTAGAGAACGGCTGAAAGGATTTATCTTATCTTGGTCTTGAATTATTTGTGGAGGTCTAGGGAAGGTTTAAAAGGTGAGAAAAATTCGAATAATTGCCGGGGAAATCCTCAAAACAGCTCTTTTCTATAGAATAAAATTTGACATTGAGATTCAATCATAGTTATAGTTAAATAGTTGAATTCGAGATGGCGCGCTGAAGTGCATTATTAACAAGACTTTATATGCATAATTTCTTTAAATTAAAATTGCTAATCTTATTGATAGAATTGACTCTTACTACGAGTATGTCTAGAACAAGAGAGTAAAAACGAATTACATTTTTATTAAACACTGCCGGAACAAAGTCGCGGGCAACAGCTAGTTAATTATAAATAATAAATCATTATTTTTAAGGTGTCATGGATGCGTCGTAAGGATCTCTCCATATTAACTTCTGGAGATATCACATTTTCAGCCGATAGTCGATTTGAAAGTGTTCATAACCTCGAAGCAGACTTTTGGGGGTTACGTATTCGTGGAGTGAGGTTATCCGACGCTGGACAATACGAATGTCAAGTCAATACAGACCCCAAAATGAATTTAGCAGTAAATCTCAGTATTATAGGTTAGTTTTTAAGAAAAAGAAAAAAAAAACTTTAAAATAAAAAATTTTACGTATTGACAGAATCATCAGTAGAATTTAGTCGTGCCCAGATAAAATCTCCAAAGGAGGTCAGCGCCCGCCAAGGATCGACGTTATCGCTGACGTGTGAAATTACCGGCGAGGACACACAGCCGCTAATGAAGAAAGCTCGAGTGCGGTGGCTGCACGAAAGCAAGGAAATCACCAGCAAGGTGAGCAGACCTGAATTGGTCACTATCTAATCAAGAAAAATCGATATCTGACCCCAGACTTGTTTATTGTGTTTTAATTTGCAGTTTGACGATGGTGGCATCTCTATAGAAACTGATTACCACCAGGGCCGGATTTGTAGCACGTTGATTATCAATTTAGTCCAACAAAAACACTCTGGAAAATATACCTGCACACAGTATGCTGCAAAAGAAGATTCTGTCAAACTTAGAGTGATTGATGGTGAGTGGAAATAAAACAACTTCCAAAAATATTTAAAAATCATTTCTAGATGTTCAATTCTACATGGAGGCTATGCAAAGAGACTCGGCATATTCATCCGCTTCTTCATCAACAAAAAATTCCATGCAAATATTTACATTTTGTATTTACTTATTATTTTTTTTACATTAGCCTTAAAGTTGAATATAATATATCCATGCATTTTTGGTGTCTTTTTGCAATTTTTTTCAGTTCGTGCTTTATCTCCACATTGTATAAATTATACGGTGTTAATTAAACAAACTTTTTTCGCTCGGAGATGTGGAGCGAAACCGAATTGAAGATGTTTTCCGTATCCCGCCGCGGCCATTATGTTAATTAAAGACAGACAAGGGGCGTACGAGGGTTGTGCAGAAACGTCTCTCACCTTTGTGCATTGCCGCCGCCCACTTTGCAACCCCCAACGGCGGCGGGAGACGAGACAAAGTTGAGTGTTGCAGTGTCGCGAGACGTCGTTAGAAGCGCGCTGCTCTTAATACTAAGCAGTATTATAAGCCCTTATCTGTTTTTTATTCAGTTTCTTAGCGCGGCCGAAACTCGCGCTGCTCGGAAATTATTTCGCGATGTATAATTCATGTGCGCGCTGTCATACTTTAAACTCGGGGTTGGTTTCCGGAGCGATGGAGTTTTTCTACATTAGCGTGTGAAAAAGTGCAAATGTGGGTTATTCAATTAAAAAAACAAAAATCAAAATTCGAAGAACGACGAGAATGTTTGGTACGAGTTCATGAAGTTGTCGGTGGGAAGCCATTAACGTGATTAGATGAAATTGGTGATTGCGGCTTTTCAAGGTGTGCACTTTTAATTGCGTGTCACCGCCAGCCAAACGGAACTTTAATTTTCACTTGCTTTCTTAATTATTTCGCACAAATAAAATATGTTTTTAAATGTTATATTGTAACAAATTTAACAACACTAATGGAAAATTCAATTGTAATTATATACTATATTAAAACCCTTTGAAAGTGCCCTAACATGCCTATCAAAAGTTGACAATTTTTGAAAATTTTGAAAACGTAAAACGGACAATGTCCTATATCTCGGGAACTAAACGATTTTCTTTAAATTTTTTGACGTCATGTTATAGTTTAAGATCTTTCAAAATCCGCAATTTGTTAGGGTCTAGGGCTCTTAGTTTAAAAAATATTCACTATCAAAAAACGTCAAAAGAAATTATCAAGCACCCCCCTTTTTTTCTTAAGAATTAAAATGTCCTCTGTCAGATTTCCGTTGTAATTATTCTATCTCATAAAGAATAGTTTGTAGATTAAAACGCTGCGATCAGATCCTAATTATCTCTTTTAGTTTACGAGATATTCGCGATTGAATAAAATGGGCCAAAATTTTAAAATGTCACTTTTCAATAATTTAGGGGCGTTTTTTGACCTTTTACTCTTAGAAATATAATTATTTTATTATTTTATCTGATAGAGAATTTTCCAATCTTTCATAAGCAGCAATTCGTTGGTTGCTATTGCTTTTAGTTTAAGAGATATTAATTACGATATTAATTATTATGAAAAATGTCACTTTTTAGCACTTTTAGTCGCATTTTCCGTCCTTTTACTGTAAGAAATGTAATCATTTTATATGTTAGTCTGATAGAGAATTTCCAATCTATTAGAATCAATAATTCATTGGCTGCTATTTCTTTTAGTTTAAGAGATATTAATTATTGAAAATCGTCGAAAAAAAGTATCAAGCACCCCCCCTTGGCAATTTTTTCTTAAGAATTAAAATTTCATCTCTCAGATTTCCGTTTAATCTAGCCTATGTTATAGAGAAGAGTCCGCAGATTAAAACGCTGCGATCAGATCTTATTTCTCTCTTTTAGTTTACGAGATATTCGCGATTGAATAAAATGGGCAAAAATTGAAAAATGTCACTTTTTAGTACTTTTAATAGCGTTTTTTGACCTTTTACTTTTTTATTATCTGTAATGATTTTTAAGATAAGTGCGAAAAACTGGTTTATTCGTTTTCTCCATCATTTCCTATGCAAAAAATAAAAATTGAAAATTTGACTTTTTTATTGCATAATATTGAAGAACATGTAATTCTACATACTTTATCTTAATAAAATGTTGTTCTAAAATTATGAGTTTTGATAATTATCACCCTAACTCATGTTTTGTTGCTATTCAAATTGTATTAATTTTTTAATAAAAATTGCAAATAGGTCCTAAACGGTAAATTTAGCAAGTTAGCAAAAAAAGGTACTATAATAATCGATGCAAAATTAAATTATCTATCCGAATCCGAAAACAGAATTTAAAAATTCCAACTTTTAAATTTCGAACATAAAAGAAATCTTTTGCCTTTTTTATAACAAAATCTTTTCGTTAAATTTTTTTTTACATTTTTTGTCGGTTTTCAGAAAGTGTGCTATCTTGTAGAGAATTCGTTAAGGATCAATAATATGAAGTCCTCTTTTGCGAAATCCTTTTAGTTCTCGAGATAATCGCATTATAATCTTACCGGTTTCACGAGAAATCTTTAAGAGAAAAGTTTAACCCTGTTGTTCGACCGAAAAAAAATTTAACAAAAAAGTTCGACCCTGTTCTTTGACTAAAAAAATGTTTGATGCCATTTTATGGTCTAAAAAATTATCTAAACGATGTATTTTATTTCAATCCCTTACACTTTTGCTGTTGGAAATATAATTATTTTATATTTTTATCTGATAGAGAATTTTCCAATCTTTTATAATCCGCAATTTGTTGGATTCTAGGGCTCTTAGACCCATTAAAAGTGCCCTACAATGCTCTGTAAAAGATGCCAACATTATAAAAATTGAAAACATGGTGTGGAAAACACCTTGTATCTCGTAAACTAATAAATTTTCTTCAGGTGTCAGGCGCCATGGTATTAGCCCAAGAGACGCTCTTTGCGATGTATTTTCTTTCAATCCTCTAAACCTTTTAAAAGTGCCTAAAATAGTCTTTAAAATTTTGCAATTTTATAAAAATTTTATAAAACATGTTGTGGAAAACACGCTGTAGCTCCTAAACTAATATATTTTCTTCAGGTGTTTTGACGCCATGTAATAGTTTAAGAGACACGCTTTACGATATATTTTATTTAAATCCTCTAAACCTTTTCAAAGTGCCTAAAATACACTTCAAAAATAGCTATTTTATTGCATAAAACTCAATTTTTGGTCGAAAAACAGGGTCGAATTTTTTATTAAAATTTCTTTCGGTCGAAGAACAGGGTAGAATTTTTTCTTATATTTTTTTGTGAAGGTCAGAATTTAATTTTTTTTTAATATTTTCGTTCAAAAAACAGGGTCGAATTTTTTATTAATTTTTTTCACACGAAAGACACGGTCGCACTTTTTCTTAAAATATTTTTCTGTCGATTGACAGGGTCGCACTTTTTGCTTAAAATATTTTTCGGTCAAATGACAGGGTCGCACTTTTTCTTAAAATATTTTTCGGTCGAACAACAGGGTGGAACTTTTTCTTAAATTTTTCCCGTGAACTCGGCGAAATTAAATTGCGATTATCTCAAGAATTAGAAAAGCTACGGAAAAAGGACTACATATTCTTAATCCTCAGCAAATTCTCTTCAAGATGGCACCTTTCTTGAAAAACGACCATAAGTGCATAAAAAATTAACGAAAAGATTTTGTTATAAAAAGGCAAAAGATTTCTCTTTTTATGTTCGAAATTAGAAGTTGGAATTTGGAACTTTTGATTGCGGATTCTTAACAAATGATTAAATTTGAGTAATTAATTTTAGTAATATTTTTCCTACCATGCTTTGTTTAGGCCCTATAGGCTTGTGAAAATCATATATTAGGTAGAATATATTTAAACAATTATTGTCGTGTATCTTTTAAATCGTTGCCCAAATTAAAATTATGAATTAGAATAATCACACCCTAAAATTGTACTCTTTGATAATTTGCGATAAAACAGTTATTTTTTTAAAATTTTTGATAAAACTTATCAGTTATGAACATTTGCGGAGGCGCCTAACATTTAAAAGAGTAGTTTAATTAATTATTGAGAAGCACCTCATTGTGTAGAGGGGCTCTTAATGAGCTAACTTATACATTTTTTATTTAAAAGCACTATAGGTTTTTCCCACATTAGATAAAATGTGTACTCACATCGATACTTAAGAATCAATTACCTCAGGAACTAGAAGAGATAAATAAAAACCAAAAACATTATTATGCTCAGTATGAAATCCTAGGTAAGATAACATTCTAATAATTTCAAATATAACATGTGTCTAAAAAGTTTTCCGCCGCGATTTTCTCGAAAAGTAATAAAGTTAGAAAAAAACTTTCTTCATTTTGTTCATGCCGTGGTAAGGATCTATAAAATGGCAGATTTATTTTTTCCATTTTCCAAAATTGACCAAAGGCCACTCAAAAACATCAAGAGGTTACACTTGACTCTTTTTGGAGTCAAAAAATTTTTTTAAAGCTAGAAGAAAATGGAAAACGCTAATCGATTGAGTTTTCCAAGGGGATGAAAGATATCAAGTCTGTTTTCCGATAACATCATTATTTTGGAAAATTAGTGGTAAATTAAAAACTGATCATATAAAACCACCCCTCCAGTTTTCCCCAAACTTTCCAAACTGATGAAGAACAATGCTAGGAATTCACTAATCCAGGTTTGGTTGTGCTATCTTAATTAGTTTGCATGTTACAGACCATTTTTAATTATTACATAAGTGTTGCTAACTGTAAAATTTAACATGCTATATAATGTAAAATACAATTCTACATACAAATATGAAAACCGTTTTCATTATCTCTAATGGTATTCAAGATAAGTGCAAAAACTGGTTTATTCGTTTTCTCCATCATTTCCTATGCAAAAAATAAAAATTGAAAATTTGACTTTTTATTGCATAATATTGAAGAATATGTAATTCTAAATACTTTATTTTAATAAAATTTTGTTCTAAAATTATGTGTTTTGATAATTATCTCCTAACTAAGTCATCTTTTGTTGCTATTTAAATTGCATTAATTTTTTATTAAAAATTGCAAATAGGTCCTAAACGGTAATTGTTTTCAAAAAAGTTACCAAAGTAATTGATGCAAAATTAAATTATATATCAGGATCCCAAAACAGAATTTACAAATTCGAACTTTTAATTTCGAACATAAAAAGAGAAAACTTTTGCCTTTTTTATAAC